GAGAGAGACAGCTATGCTAAAAATAGCTTGGGGAAAACCCCTTAATACGAAAACATCAACAGGTGGAATGAAGTTTGCACGAAAATTTCCGGCGCTTCCATCAGGGTGCCGCGCAATATCGGCCTAACACTTCATGACAGGAAAAGGTTCAACACTATGGGTATTCGGTGATGCAAGTCAGCTGGCAATATCCTGCTGCAGCTACGTTACTCACCCACCCAGCAATCAAACAAAGGGCTTATTGTGCGCAAAAACACGGCTCGCTCCAAAAGAAAGACAATCAAGCCATCCCAAGGCTCGAACATTCTTGCCATCTTTGATCTCTTTGCCGGTTAGCAAGAGGTATACTTCGATCGTATCCAAAGGTCGCATAACTAAGGTTTATATTGTGAATGATAGCAAAATAGCATTAGCCTGGACACAAACCTCAAGAAGGCTTCCTCTTTTCGTAGCTAATCAGGTGGACAGAATCAAAAAGCTTCACCATTCTATCCAAGAACTCGGAATATCATTACAATTGAGCTACATTGAGTCCGAAAATAATCCCGCTGATATCGCGACTCGGCCTGTAGCTAAAGGACAGTTCAAGGCTAGCGAATGGCTCTCAGGTCCTCAATGGTTTAAATTACAACCAAATGATTGGCCAATTGACTCATCATGGGAGCCGAATTCGAGCGACCAAATCAGCGCTGCGACAACATGCGCACCCACGGTCAAAGCACCACCACAACGAACTCACGCCATTATCGACACCTCGCGCTTCCGATACTACTCACGAGCCTTGTGCACACTGGCGCGCGCAATGAAAGCACTGTCATGCTGGATTGCGAGAGTCAACGCGCGAAACAACAGAACCATCCGCGCTTCCGCTGCTACGGCGCTTCCTTCCAGACAATGAAATTACGTCCAGTGAGCTGAAGGCCGCGGAACAATTGATTCTACTTGAACAAATAAGTGACATTGATATAAACGAACTCCGCTCAAGGTACAAAGACAAAAACCTGTTCCTAGACGAAAACGGGCTAATTAGAGCCAATTCACGGCTTACTAACGCAGCGTTACCGCGCGACACGAAAGAACCAATATTCATCCCAAGAAGAGTCTGATCTCGTCCGTCTCATTGTCAATGAACTACATGAGACGGCATACTCTGTCGCTCTTGAGAATGCGATTCTGGATCCCAAGCCATCATCCAGAATTCGGAAAATCCTTAGTCAGTGCACAGTATGCAAAAGGGAACAAGGTTTGCCCTTCGCGTACCCAGAGATGGCTGAGCTACCAAAAGACCGCGTGGTCAAATCAAAGCCCTTTCCAACACGTAGGCTGCGACTACGTAGGTCCCTTCAACAGCGACAACAACGAGAAGATGTACATTGCTCTGTAGACTTGTCTGTCGACAAGGGTAGTACATCTGGAACCCGTTGTTGTCATGGTCTTAGATCTCCTCTTCCAGAAAGATAACGAAGGACGTTCAGTCATGGCCTACTTCGGCAACAAATAACATCAAGTGGATTTTCAATCCTCCCGCAGCACCGTGGATGGGAGGAGTTTGGGAAAGAATCGTGGGAACGGTCAAAAATGCCTCTCCAAGACGATAGGACGTAGAAAGCTGTCTTTATACAAAGTTTGCAACGGTTCTAGCTTGCATTGAGGCGGTTGTCAACATACGGCCGCTGACGAAGGTAGGATCCCGATGACTTGAAATCCCTACCCTTTGCGTCCTATAGACTTTCCTGCAAGGAAATATCAAGTTTGCGCTCCCTGAAAACAAGGATGTAGAAGAGCTAAATGATCCCTCCTACGAAGAAGCCACAATCGCTACAATGGAACAAGCCAAAGAAGCGATAGACTTTGCTGAGAAAATGGCGAACCACTTCTGGAATAGATGGCAAAACGAGTATTTAACAGAGCTACGAGACATTCATAAAGCGCTCATGAAGCAAGGAAGACATGCTTCACGCAAGGTTCCCGAGGTAGGAGAAATAGTCCTCATACAACAAGACGGACTAGTCCCACGTAGCAACTGGCCACTCGGTCGCGTAACCGACCTAGTGCAGAGCACTGACGGATTAATTCGTTCGGCGAAAGTACTAACTCCTTCAGGAAACATCTGCCATCGCCCAATAACGAAGCTGATACCGCTCGAAATTCGTAGTGCGATTCGTGAATCCCAGCCTGCACGATCGCAACCGAACGACACCAGCAAACCTCAAATAGAACGAAGAGCTCCGCTTCCGAGAAAGGCTAAACAAAAAGTCAAATACTTTGACACTGAGCATGACCTAGAGGAGTCATCGTATACAGATCACTCAACGACCTGCTCTTTTCCAGGATGATTCTTCATCCCATCCTTCTATTAGGTTGTCCGCAAATGAATGCCGGTTTCGATGTATCATACTTTATTGAGCATTTTTCCAGAAATTTTCTTACGATTGCTGTACTATTGCACATCGTTGGAAAGCCCATTTCATTCTCTTTCTTACACTGCTGTTGTATTTTGAAAGGACTCGGGCCTCACTTTTTTCAAAGGTTTGAATCGAAGAAGTCAAAGCAGTGTTTGAGCAGTTCACTTCTATGAGTTGAAATTTGGAGAGGGTGCTGTGCAGACAGCTCGGAATAGGATTGCTGTGTGGGGCTAAGGATGTTGCAATAAAAGCACACTGCTTCAATGGCTCCGAAGCTTTCAATGTTAGGGAAATCTAGATTCGAAGTGAGGGGGGTTACGGACGACATTCTCCTCTTGACGGCGCCTTCTGAAGACCCGGCAGAAGAAGATTTCCAAACAAGTGTACGGCAGCCAGCAGCATAACCTTGAGCAAGCATACTGAAATTTTCGGAGCGCCTGAAGGTACTTGGGAAGGTAAGAAAGCTGGACAAGTGGGTACCGCATGAACTGACTGAGCAGCAGCAAAGTCACCTTGCAGGGATCTTGGCACAACTTTTTTACTCAACAAAAATGTCCGACTCTGGAATTTTCGTCATCCTCGACGGAAATAGGACCCTTTGCTAAGAATAAGCAATTTTCCAAAAATCTTGAACAGCTACGAACATCAAAAACTTTTTCCAAAGAAGAAATTCCACAAGGTGAGGACCACGCTGATGGTTTCGTGGCCTTCCGGAACAATGATGCATCGCAGCTTTCTGAATCCAGGTGAGTTTGATAGAGTACCAATGTCTGTTCATAACACCGAGGTGATGCACCGTAAAGAGCAAGTCTTCAACCT